TCGAAGCACGATCCTAAGATTATAATTAAGGACTACTTTAAGTATTGATTGTTGACCGGCATTGATATAGTATATTTCTTGCGGAATTGTGAACAGATTAATATAGCGAGTCCAGAGAGAAAGAGTGTAATGTTGTTTCGGACGAGTGACGAGTTTGGGAAACGTATGGTTGAAACGTATGTATGCAAGATGATTGAAATGGCTGCTATGTACATATTAAGTTTATGTTGCGAGCAACATTTCCGGAATTAAATTCTGAAGAGGAGATTGAAATTTAATGAGCATTTTTGGTATCCATCTTGTTTCATCATTAGTGTCAGCTATGTCGTAATTATTTAAATACTTGAAATCAGTTAATAACCACCATCGAATTATTCACGTGATGACTATTATGAGCACAAAATTTGAAATGAAATTCAATAATGTGAAATAATATCGAATAATAATTACCAATAACCCAATTTGAAATTAAACAATTTAAATAGTTTCATATCTAAGACCCGATTTATTGAACCTTTTGTATGGCCTGAAATTAAGCCTAAATTACTCGTCCCGTATACATAATGAACAATAATAAAAATCTCACGTGTCAGAGAAATAATCGAATGACTCGAAAGAAAAAGAAAAATTCACAATTCATTCTGTTCGCGAATATGAGCTACACAGTGGCGTGCGAGAACTCGAAAGTATCGGCTTCTCAGAATATTCGGAATTCCCGAAAATCTCAGAACTGAGAATTATGGAATAATATTAGTATCGCTAGGTCCTTATCAAAGTCTTCTCGGCTCTCAGGTTCTCCACATTTCTGCATTCTCGCACACCTCTGCTCATAGCACGATGTTGCAAGTACGAAAGCCGACCTAAATAATAATAATTTAAATGTCGCTCAAATGATTCGCAGATGATCGAAATTACATCAGCTAAATTATACTAGAATGGAATTATATCGTACAGCTCTGTGAGCTCAGATTGAACTCTGATGAACAGTTGAACTCTCATTCAATGAACCAGGATTTTCCCGAGCAAACTTGAAACACATGGTTTCCCCACAAACAAGCTGACAACAATAATGCACGTGAACAAATCATTGTTGAAATTTTTCGTAAATTTCTTTCCCAATTTTGGCTATTTTGGAAGGTT